ACACAGACTGTGAGGTATAGACGAGGTGGTGGGTAACAGACAGACAGGCACCTTGTCAACATGCACAGCAAGCGCAACCACACCGGGAATATCAAACAACAGCAAATCACATGAATTGACAATAACAAATAATATATATGTCGTATAAAGCATACGAAAATGCTCACATAAATCTACGCCAAATGAGCATATGTAATAAATTGCTTATCAACAAACCCGCGCTAAGTGCAAGATGTCAGAAAATAAATTCGTTTACGAATGCCACATACGCGAAGACGTAAGCAATCCCAACCACAATTAGCTTAAGCAACATGTGCAAGTTCAGGTAAACATTGAGGTAAAAAATGCATTGAGACACAATAGCAAACTCACCACCTGAAATCAAGAAAATCAGTACGCAAACAAGCACACAATGCAGCGTACCTACCCACGCCGCGTACGTTCTCAGCAGCACCCATCGTCGTTTCGATGCTGGTGCCGAGTGGCCTCGCTCGTGGATAACAAGGCATGCATGACTCAGGCGCTCGCGACCGCATGTGCTACAGCACCATGCGCTCGATGTCGATGGAGTACGCCCCAACGGCGACTGTCGCTTCCGAACTCGCCGCTTCTTCTCTGCATAGACGAGGGCTTTCCCCCGCACTTCGGCAAGTGCCATCGTGATCAGATCGCGCCATGCACGCCGATCAACCGCCTTCGATTCCCAACATCGGAAATCAACATTAGAACGTGAGAGGCTCAATTTGATTATGTCCCGCTAACGAAGCTTCGGTTACCCCACATACCGCTTCCCTTACACTCAGTTGACCATATAATAGCTGCTTCGATATTCGTGTCGAAAGCATAGGCCACACATGACTGAGCCACCTCAGGTATCTCAGCAAAAGCATGCAGTCCACTGCATACATTCCACTTCCGTGTCTGCAACTCTGTCGCACCAACCGATGCGCAGAATCCGTCGCAGACACTGTTGATGAAACCACTCGAAATATCGCATATCCCGCCGGTACATCGTCCACGTTTCACTGCACCATGGATTCGTACACCATCAGTTTCGTGCCAACGGTAAGCTGACGATTGTTCCACACTCGGCACTCAAGCATCCCGAATACCGCCGCCGCCTACCATACGCGAATATGGAGCACACTGTGTATCTGCTGGTCAGTCAAAACCACACTCCCAAGGTAGCAGAAGCGGGTGGTTTCCAATACTGCAGCACCAATAATGATTCGCGGCAATATTGAAGCTTGCACCTCCGGTGAAGGCTGAAAGAAACAGACAGTTTTGCTTGTGTTGTTGGTGAGCCCAAATTTGGCCTCTGTCGAAGCCAAGACAAACTCAGCCTCCTGGTCCTCCAGGTTGGGGGGTTGGAATGAGATGGCTCTTTATTCCTTAAAACGGACTCCTTGTAGCCCAACGCCAAACCCGCTGCCTTGCCGTCAGGTTCTTGAATCAAAGGCTTTGGCTGAGAACCCTAATAGTTCTCCTATCAAGGCCTGGGAAACCTGACAGTATCCTGCCCAAGCAATACAATGAATCCCATTGCAAATAAATTTCCGATGATCTGGCCACGGCAGAAGATAATCAACGGTGCTCTATCTACTGCTTTGAGCAGGGTGGATAATTGTTTGAATGCTACTGCTCAAGCCTTCCCACCTTCTTATTCTTCTCTTACGCTTTTTCTCTCTTACCGTCCCGTTCCAGCTTAACTTTTATCCTCCCTGTTTTCAACCCCCCAATTCTTGCTTTGCTATGCTTTTACGTTTCAGTTTCAACTCACATGCGAACGCGGAGCGTCATTCCTGCCCCGTCGACAAGCCAGTGTCCAACCAAGCGGCCAAGCCTAGTTCAACGACTTCCATTTGGAGCCCACGATCATCCTTCAGATTGGCATGTCTCAATGTACGCACATTGCTACAGATCGGTCATCAGGCAGCACTTGCCCGAACATTAGAGACCCTCTCGATCGATATCTGCTGCTTACCGGAGACCCGCCTGCAAGACTCGAGCTCTGTGGACACCTTGCGATCCCCTTCAGGTGACACCAACAGCACTTTCTCATTGCGTCTATCCGGTGACGATGCAGCTTCGAGCACCGGCCAAGCCGGTGTTGGCATCGCCCTCAGTCCCCAAGCTGAAGCTGCTCTGGTTGACTGGATTCCAATCAGTAGCCGGATGTGTGCGGTCCGATTGGCTGGCTCGTTTAAAGCTTCGAAGTTGCGCGGGACTAACAGGTGTCTATTCGTCATCGCCGCATATGCGCTCACAAACTCTAGCGAGGATTCGGGAAAAGACGACATTTATCGCCAACTGAACGAGCTCGTTCGCCACAGAAGAAGCACGGACACTGTTGTGCTGACTGGGGATCTGAACACTCAAGTTGGAAAGTTGTCCACTCATGAACTGCGTCTGGGCGGCCAACATGGTGTAGGCTCCCGTAATGATAAAGGTGAGCGGTTACTTCATTTGTGTGAAGATACTCGCTTATTTCTTGCGAGCACTAATTTGCGACATAGCACTCGCCGGAGGGTGACTTGGTGCACACCAACCTAGAACCAGCTACGGACGCAAACCGATCACAGTGCGATAAGTTAAAGATGGAGAGGCTGCGTCCAGAATTCTCGACCGATTTGGAGCATAGATGTGGACACCGCCCATGCACTTGTATGTGCAGACCTGCGGATGCGTTTGGGAGGGCGCCCAAGACGACGTTGTGAGCGCATTGACCCCAGGCAACTGGCGAAAACCGCTGTTCTGAATGCCTATCAAAGTACGCTGTCATGCGAGTTGAGTAAGCGCTCACTGGTCGCATGTTCACCAGTCCTTACTAGCAGCAGCAAAATACTTATGTGGTAAGTGTAATCGCCAACATGGACATTGGGTATCTTCACAGTCTCTGGAACTTATCGATGCTCGTCGGCCTATTCCGGTTGGTAGCGAACACAATGTGACTTGCAAAGAGCTCCGGGCAAAACTCCGTGCTAGCCTGAAGAGAGACCGCGAATCCTGATGTTCTCATCGTGCATCAGAAATGGAAATGGCCGCTGGCCTTGGTAACCATCGTAAGTTATTCCGGCTGATACGGGAAACGAGCAGCAGAAGAGCATGGGAGTTAGCGAAACTATACGTGACGAGAGTGAACAGCCTATTCACAACTTGTCAAAACGCTTGGAGCGTTGGGTTGAGCAATTTGAAAGGCAATTTAATCAGTCAGAATTGTTAAATTTCTCGCCTGCCACTGATCGCCCCACCCCCTGGGCTGTTCCTTTGGATCCGCTCTCTCGCTCAGAAGTCGAACGTGAGATCGCACTGTTGAAGTTAAATAAAGCCG